GGGGATTTACCCATACCCATCCTTGGAAGCATCGATACACATTTGGGCCATATCCGTTGATTGATTTCCTCATGTGTGTGAGAGAATGAGAGACGTAGGGGAAGGGGTGACGGTGGGGAAGATGGTTTACAATCTAGAGAAAAAAAAGCCATATAAAACTTTATAAAATAATTATGAATTTATTAAATTGTAAAATAAATAAATATAAAAGATGTAATTGAATTTTTAAAGGTTTATTCAATTCAAAATAATAATTATCCTAATTTCTAATTTTTTATATTATTTTTTAATTAATAAATTGTGTAACTCATATTTCTTCTCACATTCTCACGAATTAATTAGTTTCTCGCATAATGCACCATATAGTGTGTGTGTGTGTGTGTTTTTTTTTTTATAATTTTTTAAGAAAATTGCATTTTTGGTCTCTGTGGTTTGTTTATTTTTTTATCTTTGTGGTTTGTTTATTTTTTAAGTAAATTGCGTTTTTAGTAGGAAACTAATTAAAACATAAAATGACCATATTACCCTTGATGTAACTGATTCTTTTAACGACGTTAGTGGGTAGGGACCCAAACCAAGCACTTTTGCATACCACGAGGTTTTCTTGCAAAAAATATTTTATAGGGACCAAAACCAAGAAAAACAATAAACCATAAGAACCAAATTTGCAATTTACTCCTCTTATGGTTAATCAAAGTAAGGGACCGTTTACCAAACGCTTACCCGGATAAGCGCTTACCATTTTTTTTTGTTGCATACGATGTCGTTTAGGTGGACTAAAATCTTACCCGATAAGTAAATAATAATGTTAAATTTTACCGGTAAGCACTTACCGGATAAATGTTTGGTAACTGGCCCCTAAATTATGATTTCCGTTCTTGTCCTTTAGAAATTATGATTTTCGTCTTTATGATTTACAACTTCATCTTTTTTACAGCCTTTCCGATTTACAATTTTTTACCATTTTAATCCCTTATATTTAGAGATTAAAATTTGTCCAGAGACAAAAATAACAATAAAATTGCAAACCATAGATGCAAAAACCGTAATTTCTAAACCAAAGAGATAAAATTCAAAATTGTTAACAAACCACCATACGAAAATCGCAATTAACTTGATTAATTAGAAATTTAAATAAAATAGATGTTTTAATTGTTATGTCTTATAAAATAGGATAGAATATAGATTACTAGATATATACATCATCAATGTTCACTAGAGATGGCCAAAAACCGGTCCCGGGCCGGTCCCAATCGGTCCTCACATTTCTCATAACCGGCCATAACCGATCCCGGCGTAACCGATCCCGGTCTCGGTCCCGATCCCAGTCGAAAATGATAGGACCGGTATAGGTACTTCATAACCGGTTATGGGCCGCCGGTCCCGGTCCTGGTCCTGGTCCCAACCGGTCTTCGCATTAAAAAAAAATAAGATTTTTTTTATTTTTTTAATGATATATATTTTTAATACATTATAAAATTTACAAATGGGTCACTCAAATACACTTTAAAAATGCGTTTTAATATAATTAAAATTACGTTTTCTTATAAAAATACATTATAAAATTATTTAAAAATACATTTATTTATAAAATTATTTGAATTTTCAAGCCGGGCCGGGCTGGTCCATAGTCGGTCCCATAACCGGTCCCGATCGGTCCCGGCCCCACGAAACTACCAAAAACCTCAACCGGTCCCCGTTTTCGGTCCCATAACCGGTCCTTGCCAGTCCCGATCCCCGGGCGGTCCTTTGTCGGTCCCGGTCCCGGTCCTCCAGCGGTCCCGGGCCGGGCCAGGCCGGGCCGATTTGGCTATCTCTAATGTCCACTAGTACTCTCTAAAATAACGTATTATATTTTATATAAAATAAAATAATAAAAAATATTTAAATATTAGTCAAACGTTTTTAATGCTTTAAATGACAAGAACGAAAGAATAATCCAAGTCTACATTTAAATTAATATTGTTTGAATCTACGGGTTTGGAATTCTCTGACTTCTCCACACGATTTCTGTATATATATATCGACTCAAAACTTATGACATTATCAATAAACAATTATCGTTTTCTGTTAATTTAATATAACAGATATCAAATTAATACAGATACACCTTTTCAAAGTGTTACTGAATCCACCCCTTGTATGAAGGACAATATAGATAAGTCTTGTAGATGCATGTTGTATTATTAAATAGTCCATGTAAGTACAAACACAAGTGCATAATAATTACTAGAAACATGGAATCTGGATCCCACTCCAAAGTCATCCCACACTCAATGTTACATGTGCCAACAATCACACTTAAAAGAGTGGAGGACAGATTGACCTATGCCCTCTTTTCTAAATCACCAAACTTCAAAATACATACATTTTTAAACCACAAGAGTGGTGCCTGATTGGTTTGAGCTTGACTCCAAAGGTCAAAAATACCAGGAGGTCTCAGGTTCAAATTCAATGAGGAATAAAAAATCTCCTTGTAACCATGAAGGTTCAAATGCGGTGACTCCGGGCTATCTGCAAAGCAGATGGTCGCCCTATGATTAATCGGCTCACATAGCAGGTCGGATATCCAGGTTAATAAAAAAAATACATACATTTTATCCTCTTCAGATCAATCTTCATATGGGATTTTACATATATACCACTCTACTTCTTTATGTGGAAAAAAAGGTGCATACATCTTATCCAACCCTAGACCTTTTTTCATATGAGATTTACTGAGTTTGTTTGATTTGATCTTGATCTATGTATTTGGACTATAGAGACTCCATTAACACCATTAGAGCAGAAGGCAAACTTAATTAACTTTGAGGCATTTTTTGCTCAATGAATTCATTTTAGCTCAAAAAAATAGATTTGGAACATAAAGGAACCAAGGGACCAGCTTTGCCCACCCCAGGACAACAACATCAGTTCGAACCAACCTATTTGAGGCAAAAATGTAGGCACCAGACACCAAAATCACAGGACCATGCTAGGCTAAAACATGCAACTTTTAAGTCATTCAAGACTCAAAATGTCATACCTATCGAGATCAGTGAAATAAATTCCAAGAAACAGATGCTAATCAAAACCCAACAAAAAATTGAGAAAATTGATCATATAGAATGAGGAATTGGACGTCCCAAGCATCATCCATATGCTAGACTAGACTACCCAATTGGGAGTTTTTTTTGGGGGGGGGGGGGGGCAGGGTGTTGATCCCAGTTCCCAAGGTAAAGAAGAAGAACAGTAAAAATGAGGTCGATATGGTCTTTCTAAAAGACAAGTTGTACACAAAAGTGGAAGATGACAACAATTTATGTAATCATGAGCAGTTCAAATGGGAAAGTTTTGCCTTTTACAACTATAACCCCACTAGTGCAAATTGTCCTGGAAACTGGTCCAAGAGACAAGAACCTGCACAAACAAAAGAAAAAGACACCAAAGATAAAGATTAAAAAAGGCACATTCCCTGCAAGAACTTGTTCCACAATCAGATATTACAATTTAGAAAAGAAAAGATTTCACAATAAACAGGAATATGTTTCTTTCTAAACTCTAAAAATCACAGGCAGAAACCAAAACAAATGCCAAGAGAGATATTATGTTCTACTATAATGGTTGAATGCAATGCCAAAGTTTCCAGCTTTTTTCCCTGTTAAACTTGATCTACCACCAATAATGTGGCATAATAAGGTGTCATCCTTACTGCACCAAAGCAGCAATCATTTTCTTTGACTTCCATAAAAAGTACTCAAGAAAAGCACAATAAGAAGCCAAGTACTCAGAGAAAAGATGCAACAAAAAAGATAATCATCAGCATTCAGCCTTGGGTAATTCTTTAATGGATGAAAAGCTAAGGAGAACATCATGCATACATAATAGCAACGTCAATGTTATGCACACAGTTGTAATATCACTAAAGGGAACATAACACATGGGCATCGACAAACCATATTTGGCTCCGCCACCTTATACTTCAATGGACCATGATGTCTACCACACAAAAAGGAAACAGATGGCCAAACTAGTTTCTATTATGAAGTTTAGGCATCTTTCACATAAACTAAATCCAAATTTGGATTTAGAGGTCCAAAAGCAGGTAAGAAAATGCTAATTTTTACCATGCTATTGCCCTCTGAAAGAGGTCCACAACTACAGTAACATTTACAGCTGGTAAATCAACATAGAGAATCCAAGTATCTCACATATGTCGACCTCACTGTTAGAAGTCAGGATAATCCATACATAAAACCAAATAGTAGCAGATATTTATCAATCATCCCACTTTAAGATACCTCTTGCAAATTAACAATGTTAACACTCACAGAAAGAAAACTTAGAAAATTTCTGCCTTGGCTTCCATAATCAGGGTACTACACTCAAGACCCCTTTCCTTCTTGAGGTATCTTATTCAGCCAACTTATTCATGTACCTGATAGCTGCCCTTATAATCCTGCTTTCAAATTGCCTAACAAAGAAACACAATACAAGCATGCAGACGATCACTAGAAAAAAATAATTGGGCACACAATTCTAACTGCAAAAGAGGTGTTCACAACTCGATCAAGGGAACATAAGTTTTTCCAACTAAGCCAAACGACACCAAACAAACCCAAAGTCTCACGCAAAGCGGGCCGTTCCAGTTCAAAACTGACACATGGCTTTAACTCCTTTACCATGTCCTAAAAAGACAACACAGATGTCAATCTTTACATAGAAGCTAAGCTACTGGAAACAGTCCTGGTCTAATAAATCCGAAAAAACCACATCGGCAATAGTCTTTGCCAGAAAAACTACTTGATGCTACACAGGCCCATCAAACAGCGATTAGTAGCTTTCTTCAGGATTTGGCCCCAACTGTTCAGCATATGCTATTTGACCATTCTGCTGGAGCTTAAGCTTTAGGGTCATATGCATGTTAGACCTGAAGTCTAGATGATGGTAATTAATTTGGTTAGATTCCAATGGTCCAGGTGATAAATTAATGGCCATCAACCACACCAAGAACCTCTTTAAGGTAAAACAAAACCAATCCCATAGAAATAATGGGTTCAAGTTGCAATCAGGGATATCATACAAGATACAAACGTTATAGGTGTTTAAAGAGATGAAACCGATACTAATCACAATCCAAAGCAACAATTCTCCTTTACAAACAGAGGTACAAATACCAAAAGTGTAACAATCAGTGACTCCAGAATTTCACAAGGGGTTGCATAACAGCAGCATGAAACAGGGTCTCTCATTCCTTGGCCTAACAGCAATATCCTTCTGACAGAGAAATCATAACCACAATATCCTAACAGCAATATCCTTCCTACCACCTGGTTTATGAACAAACAAATAATATACTTCTCGTTCTGAATGGTAAAAATCTGATGGAACGTCATGTAAACAAGTCTTCAATCATCAACCACATCAGCAGGGCAGAGAAATCATAACCACAATCAGCAATTTATGCACTGATAGCTAGTTTACCTCAGTTCCAAATTAGAGCCCAGAGAAAAAGCAGACCAATTATTAGGAGTGGTGATGCTGCAGAAAACCCTGTTTCATGCTGGTGAGCTCTCTGCTGAGGGGCTCCATGAGCATGATGGTTCCCATAGGAAAAACCAGGAGCTGGAGCTGGAGCTGGAGCTGGAGCTGAAGCAGGAGCAGCACCATTCCCATACATTGGATGACCAGTAAACGCATGCAACTGAACATTGAAAAATGATGGTATCAAGCCACCAAATGAAAGAGTAAAGTTCCCAAAACTCGCAGTCATAGCAGGCCCAAAACCACCCATCAATCCAAAGCCATGTTGACCATGTTGAGCAAACGCATTCCTATCTGGTGGAGGAGCAGTTTCTGGTCTCTGGCCTGCTGGCCGATTTGGAATCTCGACACCAGGAACTGATTTTGACCTTGGATCTGTTGAGTTCTTCCCCCTTCCATATAGAGGCACCAATTTTTCCTCTTCAATAAGGGCCTTACAAACTGGGCATTCCTGGGAGTGAGAATGAATGTGAAGCCATTTGTAAAGGCAAGGCCAGCAGAAGAGGTGACCGCACAAAGTAACGATCGGGTCCTGGGCTAAATCAAAGCAAATGTTGCACTCAAAATTTCCAGCATCACCATTGTTGGAATTGTTATCGCTTGAACAAGATGGGCGTTGGGGTGACCTGCTTGGCACTTCCCCAAACCCAGCAGGCATCTCTCTCAGGAGAAATGCTCAAGTGCCCTATTAATCACCAAAAAGGCAAACCAGATATTAAACCTACCAATTACCATAAAAACATACAAATGCTACAATGCCGTCAATTCGAATGAACAAATTTAAATATTGATTGCAATACTAGAACACAAGTTCAAGGAGAATGCGGTAACGATGGCCCACATCCACCACTTAAACATAAAATCAAACATTAAGCATGAAGAAAACAAGACCAAATCGAAGTACAAAAGTTCTTATCATGCTGTCATACACTTGCAGATAACCAAATCGAAGTACCAAAATTTCTTACATCCTCCATCCACCAATTACAACAACAGATCAAGTTCTAATCTCAATTGTATTCGAAACATAACATTGACAGAACCACGCCGATCAATCAATAAATCATATAAAAAGGTAAAACCTCAAAGTACAGACATCAATCAAACAAAATCAGACTTTCTAGGGTTTCATGGGAAAAAAATTAAATCGCACCTTCAATTATCGAATTACTTGACAAAAAGGAAAAAGAAACACAAGGTGGATTTCTGAACCAAAAAAGGATGCAATTACAGACGTAAATAACTTCGATTCGTAAAGAAACAACAATAATACCGTACAGATCTTCGGAGAAATACGGCGACCGGTGTACCGGTAAATCAATATTCCTTGCTTGAGGCGTAGAATCGGAGGAAGATTCCAACTTCAAAACGATGATTGTTGAAGGATACGTTCACATTTTGCATTTTAAAATCGTTGAATCTTGACGATTTGCATTGTAGAAAACTAGAAAAATCTGGAAGATTCTTGTTTGACGTTGTTTACACTACAGTAAGGTAATTGCTTTCAGATCAGCCATTTGGGCTTGGCCCAATTACTATCAGGTTCTATTGGGCCCATTTCTTGTGGGACTAGTGTATACTGTATGGCAAAAACCGGTCCAGGGCCGGGTCGGTCTCAATCGGTCCCAAGATTTCTCATAATCGGTCCTGATCTCGTTCGAAAAAGTTGAGCCCGGTCAAACATTATTATAACCGATTATAAGCCACTGGTCACTCAAATACATTATAAAATTTGTAATTGGGTCACTCAAATACATTTTAAAAATACGTTTTATTATAATTAAAATTACATTGTCTTACAAAATATAGCGAGAACCAATAACTGTGAACGTTTTTTGCATTTTTTACGAATCGAGAACTTGGTATGTAAATCCCTCAACCAATACACTTATATATAGTGTTTATAAAGCAAAAAAAATACAAAAAAAGCCCAAAAACGGCTACATTTTATTAAAAAAATAGCTACATTTTTTAAAAAACGGGCCGGACCGGTTCATAACCGGTCCCGGTCCCGCGAAACACCCCAAATCCATAACCGGTCCCAGATTTCGGTCCTGTAGCCGGTCCCGGTCCCGGTCCTCCGGCAGTCCCAGGCGGGGCCAGGACGGTTTGGCCATCACTAGTGTCCAGTCAGGACATGATAGAATAACTGTTCAACGTTTGGTAAGATAAAACTGGACAGAACCGAACAAGTACAATGACTAATTTACCCTTTATGATTTGTTTATTTTAATTAATTTATTAAATCATAATTGAATAATCATTTTTTATAACAAAATATATCATTTAAAAGTTTCGTCGAAACAATTAAAATAACATCAAATAAAAAGTTTATGTACTTTTCAATTTTTATTTTTATCTCTTTTATATATTATTTTTTATTATTAATATATAATAGATTAAATAAATAATTAAAATATAGAAACCGTATGAAAATAATATTTTAAGAACAGTAAAATGAAAGTTTAAGAAACATAAAATACAATAAATAAAATTTAAAAATTAAATAAAATGTAAAAGGGAGACCTATTTAATGTTTTATTAGAGAATTAAGTTTTAGTTTGAGGTTATATTGGTAAAATATAAGTTTGTTATACTTTGTTCCACACTATTCCATGAGGTAGGGGTGGAACAGTCATGTTCCACTCTTTTTGAATCTTGATTCTAATTGAAGCTAAGGGGCTATTTACCAAACGTTTACCCAGGTAAGTGTTTACCAAGTCACATTACCTTACCGGATGAATATGACAAAGACCAAAAATATTACCCGGTAAGAGCGAGACAAGGAACAAGAGTCTTACCCGGTAAGTGAGGGCGACGACTTTTACTACGGTAAGAGCTTACCAGGTAAACTATTGCATACGGTGTTGTTTTCGTGGAGTAAAATCTTACCCGATAAGTAAATAATAATGTTAAATTTTACCGATAAACACTTATTGAATAAGTTTTTTTGTAAACCGTTCCTAAATCACTAAAATAAAATAAACATTAACTTTATGTTTTAAAAACTAACTTTTTGATAATAAAAATATATATTCGGTGATAGAATCTAAGTTTTAAAAAGTTAATTAAAGCGAAAGGTTTTGATTCTATTTTTGTTTTTTTTTTAAAAAGTACTAAAAACTCCTTAAAAGAAAAACATATTTTTTAAAATAAAAAATTAACAAAAAATAAAAGAATCAAAAGAAAATTCTAAATATAGAGAATTAATTTTATGTTGTGTTTGATGTGAAGGGTGGAATAGTATAAGACAAAAAAATGTCAAAGATATCAGAAGATCTCAGGTTCAAATTAAAAAAAAAATCCTCTTGTGGTCATGGAGGTTCAAATGCGGTGACTATGGACTATCTGCAAAGCAGGTGATCGTTCTGGAATTAGTCGGCTCGCATAGTGGTTTGGATATTCAGGTTAATAAAAAAAATAGTCACATGTTTAAAGTATGATATGAGACAAAGCGAAGGTAAAATAAGATGGGACTAAAACTCATTTTAATAGGGCAGAATCACACTTTTTTTTTGTTCCACCAAAAAAGATGGAACGACCTTAGACTTAAACTCAAAATTACTTAAATACCCTCAAAACAATACAAAATATGAAAGCTAAAAACTATCCAAATCTAAAATCTGAAACCTGAAACTCTCGCAACTTTGAAATCTAAAAGTTAAACTCTCCCAAACCTGAAATCTAAAACCCAAAAGTCCAAATTCCCAAATCGGAAACTAAAATTAAAACCCTCCCAAAACAAACTGATTTCACATCAATAATAATGGTTTATTAGTTTTTTAAAATGTATTAAGATGGTCGTTCTAGGATTAGTCGGCTCGCATAGCGGGTTGGAATAAAGTACCAGGAGGTCTCATGCTCAAATCCAATGAAGAATAAAAATCTCTTTGTGGCCACGGAGGTTCAAATAACTTCGGACTATCTGTAAAGCAGGTGGTCACCCTGGAATTAGCCGGCTCATATAGCGGATTGGATATTCAGGTTAATAAAAAAAATGTATTAAGATGATAAAGTACAAAATATTTTAATAATATTAAATGATATTAAAAATTTCCAAAAATAGAAAATTGTAACTGAATATAATTATAAAACATTTTAATAAATTTCTCCCCTTCTCCCCTCTGAAGTCGCATGATTCGGTAATGGAGGTACATACGACACATTCATCCTCCGTATTTTACTCATCATTCTCTTTGACTGGATTCGATTGGGTACGTTTAACGTTTCTTTGGTCGGTGAATGGTGATACTCGGAGTAATTGAACAACTGGTATGGAGTTCCAGATCTTATTTGCTATTTTTGATTCAGCTACGCAGTTTTTCACCATTAATCTCTATGAACATCTGTGAATGTTTGATCGTAGAAACATTTCTATCATTGATTATGTTGAAATGTGATTCTGCTGTTTTTATTTCGTATTCCTAATTGTGTGGTACATTTTAGGAGATTCAAGGTAAATGGTTATATGCATATACATACGAATGCCGAATAGCCAGACTGATCACCTCCACTAATTTCATGAGTCCTGGAGAACAGTTTGGAAATCCCTAGAGGTTGGAAGGGTTTATATGTGCGTGTGTTTGGGGGATTTGGGAGGAGGAGAGCTATCTTAAATGAATACAATCTTAACGTGTAATGTCTTTGATGAATGTGGAGCTCATCAAAGTAATCCCATTATGAACTGGAATGCAAACAATTGATCTTTCTGTATGCTACTAGTGTTTATGAATAACAATAGCTATGTTTACTGGTACTTACTTGTGTTCTAGTCTTATTCTTGTTTTCAAAAACTTTTACCAAACATTCACCAATTCTTATGCTAATTTCAAGCCAAGCATATATATTGTGAGTCTACTTCCATTTTTTAAGCATTACAAGTTGTCTAACTTAATGCAACCGGAAGGGCATGCCTTATTCTTTTCGTACTTTTACTACTTCTGTTACGGACATGAATACAGTTTCAAGAGGCTCCATTGCCATATTTTTATGTAATTAAGGGTTGTAGCCTTTAATCGTCTAAGGTCGAGTAGAGCAGATGATTTGTTGGTATCACTTTGTTTAATAACGTTTGTTGAATCCCTTTCTTTTTGCAGCAAAAGCATGCTCAATCTTCTTGGCGCTATACCAATGAGTTTCAGTCATTGCGTTTAGTTTTCGACATATAGCTTTTCAAGACTTCTAAGATTGTTATAAAACCTCATAACGTGTGTGATTTGGTGGGTGGATAGTTGCAGAAAGATGGACAGTTACCAGACCATGGACTCAGACGCTGACGGTGGATCAAAGAACTACCCATTGACTCTTCCAAGGGCTGTAAGGGGTCTGGCATGCTTGGTGGTTTACCTTTTGACTGCTTTCATATTTTTGATCTATTTGGGCACTGCAGCTGCTGTTTTGCTCCGCCTTTTTAGCATACATTATAGTAGGAAAGTTACATCCTTCCTTTTTGGTCTCTGGCTAGCTTTGTGGCCCTTCTTATTTGAAAAGATCAACAAAACAAAGGTTATATTTTCTGGAGAAACTGTTCCAGAAAGGGAACGCATACTACTTATTGCTAACCATAAAACGGAAGTTGACTGGATGTATCTTTGGGATCTTGCACTACGAAAAGGCTGCATAGGAGGCATCAAATATGTCCTTAAGAGCAGCTTGATGAAATTACCAGTTTTTGGTTGGGGATTTCATGTGTTGGAGTTCATTTCAGTTGAGAGAAGATGGGAAGTAGATGAAACTATGATGCAAAAGATGCTATCAACTTTTACCAATCCGTTGGATCCATTATGGCTCGCTGTTTTTCCTGAAGGAACTGATTTTACGTAATACCTCAATACTCCCTTTATCTTTTATTTCGTTACAAGTTCAACATATGTGAAGTTATACTTTCAGTATTTATTGTACACAACTGATGGTTTCATATGTCCAATCTTAATATGAATAGAACCCATGATTTCATATTATGCAGGAATGCTAACCTCCTTACCTTGCTAGGCTAAAGCCATGGGGACCCATGTTTTCATATTTGAATTACTTATTTACTTTATGTTTTACCAATAATTGTCACTAATCGTTTTTTATTAACATTAAACCGTCTTGTCTCGATAAACAGAGAACAGAAGTGCATAAGAAGCCAAAAATTTGCTGCTGAAAATGGACTGCCTACTCTGAAGAATTTGTTGCTTCCCAAAACAAGAGGTTTCCATGCTTGTTTGGAAATCTTAAGGGGCTCTTTGGATGCAGGTTGTATATCCTCCATCATCTTCTTTACACAATCGTCTTCATTGAATACCTTATATAGTTATATCTATCATGAACACCAAAATTTATTTCTTGAAAGCTTCTTATTCATGTGATCATCTCTAAATTATGACCTTTTGGCAATTGGCAAATAAAACCTTGATCCATATTTCTCTTGAATGACAAATAAATGGTTTGTTCAAGCAACGTGTCTTCCATTCCAGATAGACAATGGACCTTTTAGGGGGAGCTTGGGTCGTTTCAGGGAATGGAATTGAGAACGAGAATAGGAATGCTGGGGAATGAAAATGGGAATGTGGAATGCTTCGTTACCCTGTATCTGGTAACAACCCATTCCATTGCGTCAAACCAAGCACCATTTATGATTTCCATTTCCATTCCCCACCTAAGTTTTTCGAACAGCATGTATCTTTCTCTTTCCGGTCCCTCGTCTAATCCTCCTCTACTCATATGCTTTGATATGCCATTTTATGCATATGTGAATAGGCTAATCAGTTTTTCAGCTATATGGCCACATGACCACACTGCTGAAGGTTCTGCACCATAAGACAATTTCTTCTTGTCTATTGATTGCTCTTTCTTTCCATCTGCTCGATATTACAAAACAGTTTTGAGTATAATAGACATTTACTTGTTATATATGGTCTATCATGAGCCGATGCTTCGTCTTCTTTGGTACCCATTATGTCCTATGACACCTGCGGTTGGGATGTACTGAGTTTGTTTGGTTTGATTTGAGTTGGTTTATTGCTTATGATGCTTTACACATGTTTGGGGTTGAGGACTGGCAATTTAGACTGGGGTTGTGTTTTCCTTTACCTTACCTTCTGTATGTTTCAACATACCTACTTGTTATCTTTTCTTATTTTTTCCGTTCTATGTTCACTTTGTTTCTGCTACCTGTTTGCTCACACTCTTGCACAAGCCGGGGGTCTTCATGAAAACAACTAGTTTACTCATTGGGGTAGAAGGTCCGTGTACATCTTTCTACCCCCCCCCCCCGGGCGGGAAACGCTACTTTCAAGTGTGATTTACTGAGTAGGTTTGGTTTAGTTACATTTGACAAATGGTGCATTCTCATGTTCTCGTCCTGATTCCAGTGTACGATGTGACAATAGCATACAAGAACCGGTGTCCCACTTTCTTGGACAATGTCTTCGGCATAGAACCGTCAGAAGTTCATGTTCATGTGCGTCGCATCCCTCTAGACGATATCCCCGCCTCACAAAGTGAATGCAATGCTTGGCTCTTACGTACATTCGAACTCAAGGATCAGTTGCTTTCGGATTTCATCACACAAGGTCATTTTGAAAACCAAGGAACCGAAGGCGAGCTATCGACAATAAAATGCTTGGTAAATTGCACACTAGTTTTAGCCATCACTTGTGTATTTACATATCTTACATTCTTCTCATCTGTTTGGTTCAAAATATACATTGGCCTAGCTTCTGCATACCTTGCTTCTGCTACAACTTTCAATTTTCACCCGTCGCCGATTCTTGAATACGTGAAACTGTTATCATCTCGAAAGAAGCTAATCTAGGGAATACGAACTCGTTCTTCGAACAATAATTTCTTACATTTGATTTTGAGTTGGAATGTTTTTATATTTCTCTATGCTTTAAGTCTTTTTGATGATTGTTCATGCTTGTCGATCGAAGGCTGAGAATAGAACGCTATTATCGTTATGAGATGGGATGAAATATCGGTTAAGATGGTCCGAACGAGGTTAACAGAAACCTGAACAAGTATCTTGACCACGATCCAAGGTGGCAGGCCCTGACTTAGCGTTTGTGCAAAAGGGTTTGTAACCGGCAAATTCCCCAAGCTGGCCCACGTCATCATGCTCGCAAAGTATAACGTGACAGGCAAATTAGATACAAAATAGCCCGTTGCGCCCAGATGAATTATAATGGTCACATTGTCACTGCTAGACTAAAACTCTCGCTTGTTTGTACAAGAATACCACGTTGATAAGAAAATGATTTTGAAAAGAAAGAACGTTATAAATCCTTAAAGAAACATGGACCTTTTATAACGTCTTATTATACAACAATTCTATCGTAGAGAACTTGACGACAAATTTTAAAACGTAATTATGACGATAAGTTTTCGAAGGCGAACATTTTTTATAACGACAACTCGATACGTTTCAAAACATTGGCTAATTTTAGTGAGTGCAAGATACAATGATAAACAATATAGAACCATAACGGTGATGTCTGATTAGTTTGAGCTTGACTTCAAAGGTCAAAAGTATCAGGAGGTCTCGGGTTCAAATCCAAGGAGGAATAAAAATCCTCTTATGGCTACGGAGGTTCAAATACGGTGACTCCGGGCTATCTGCAAAGCAGGTGATCGTCCTGAAATTAGTCGGCTCGCATAACGGGTTGGATATCCAGGTTCATAAAAAAAAATTATAAACAATATAGTTTCACTTCATTTCTAATTTGGCTACAAACCCTTTTCGTTTGAACTCTTAAATCAGTCGCCTAATTTGCCTCACATGGGATCATTGTGGACCAACTACAAACCCTTTTTGCCTAACTATCTATCTATATTATATTATAAAAAATTGACAAAAACTTTTAAAAATCATTTTTTATACACGAATTACTGTTTATTGATGCCTATTACTTAAAATTAAGATTACAAGTAAATTGTGTATAAGTACAACATATTAAAGCTCCATATTTGAATTCGTGTAACTATTTGCAGATAAACATAATCAAATATTTGATAAACATCTCATATTAAATATAAAAAATCTAGAATATAATTAAAGATAATCATTGAATTATAACAGAATACTTAGTTATTATTTTTATAAAAAAACTAGAAGGGTACTCGCAAAATGCAACAAGATACAATTTGATTTTAATATTTCATTTTATTATTTATCTCAATCGATGTTATAGTATGGTCTTATGTGATTTTGAAAAAGCGATGATGTTTTTATTTTTGAATAAAATATAAATTTGAATATATCATAAAAATTTGACAAAAATATATTGATATTAATATCAAATTAATTATTTAAATTTTTTATTTTTTATATAGTTTTTTAATTTAATTTTTTTATTATAATTTAATTTATCGTAACGAAATAACTTAATTTAGATTAAATAATATTTTTTTATAGAGATAATAATTAACTATTCTGTTAGAACTCAATAATTATCCTAATTATATATTATACTTTTCATATTTTAAAATGAGATTTTTATTCTCTATTTAATTATATTTATGTACAGTTAGTTACACGAATTCAAACATAAAACTTTAATAAATTGTACTTATAGTTTTGAATTTTAAGTAATATGCATCAATATACAGTACTTCATACATAAAAAATGATTTTTAAGAGTTTTTATCAGATACTTTATAATATAATATAGATTATATTATTAAACCTAAATTAAATTTCTTTGTTACTAAACCTAAATTAAAATTATAATTAAAAATTTTGAATTAAGAAATTTACACCAAAACACAAGAACTTTTAAAAAGATTAATTTGATATTAATATCAATATATTCTTTTTCAAAAATTCATATTTTATTCAAAAATAAAAACATTATCGTTTTCTTAAAACCACATAAAACCTTATTATATCGACATAAAAAAAGAATAAAACGAAACACTGAAATCAAAATATATCTCGATACATTGCACGAATACCCTTCTGGTAAGATATAGCAATAACAAAAGCATTTTAATACTACAAATACAATACCTGAAAAAGAAGTTTGAGGCACAAATCATGAAGATAACCAACTTCTTTCCCTTTTTTATCTTTTCTTTTAATCCATACATTTCCTTCCTCTACATTTCAAAAGGATTTCATCCATAAAAAAGAATCCCCATCCCAAAAAACCTAAATAATTCTTGGGTTAGGAAACAAAAACAAACCCAAATCTAAAGCCATCACCACTTTGTGCTGTGACTTTTCCCTAACATTATACACTGAGTTAACCTCCGAAAACTACGCCCCGATCGAGTCAATTAAACTCGGGTCGGGTCAACAAGAAGCCGAAAAGAAAAACCAAAAACCGCCTATCATTTACAGCAGTTCCTCTTTTGAGGAACTGTTATCTGTCAGCTAACGCTGCACGGACTTTTAACGGGAAAGATTCCTCAAAACCATGATTCCATTTCACCCCAACCGGTGCATAGCCCCTCCCCTTCGCCTTCCCCTTCGTCGCTGAAAAGGGTTTGATCCGAGCAATCCAGCGAGGCCCCACACGCCAGATTATACGCTTGGCATGCCGAATGACACACTCTTAATCTGTTATCACCGTCTTTCTCACATTTTTGTATCGATATCTGTTCCATTCCCAGATGGTTGATTTGAAATGAAAGTCAACTAAAGGGGGAAGTTTCTAAAGATGGAAAGTTTCTAAAAAGGAGACTTACCCAACACGCTAGTCGTTTGGCAGCTTTATCGCAGTTTCTGCCTCTGAAGATGTTGAGAATCTTGCGGGCGCCAGTTGGGTACAAGCGGTGGTAGTTGGGCATGACCACGACTTCCTCGAGCTGCTGCAGTATGCTTGATTCGCTTGGTGCGCAGTGTTGCCCGTCAGCATCGTTCATCAGCACGTCTTTGCAAGTCGAGAGACTGTCGAGAAGCATGGAGGTGTTCCGACAGGTGTAGCCTGCGTAATCGGAGCAGCGAAATTCGCAGACGCCATTGTCGCATACACCTCCGTGAAGGCTGCATTGTTCATCACAGACAGCTGCATAGGATCCAAAAGCACATTGATTTACTGAAAACCGGAACTTAAAAAGCTTACAAGATTCTGCATCAGTTTGGAGCAAATTGAGTGTATGGATGCGTTGTTTTCACTACAACAAAATCGACATTGTAGGATGCCAAATACGTCTCCTAATAGACTGGTTTATAGGACCAACAAATGTGGACGTTTTCAGAAGTCCTAACAAGTTCATTACGGCAGTTTTGAAATAAGCATCCTATTCGTCTTTTTAGATGACATTCCGTGTCTAGCTGATGTGGGACTCCAGCAGAACTAAACAGAACATGCAAGAAACCTAAACTCACCAGTTGAGCAATCAATCCCAGTGAATCCATTTGCACATTCACAAATACCATTCTTGAGGCACTTCCCATTTCCGCTACAATTGCTGGTGCAGGACCCTGAAAAATAAGCATCCAACGCTCGTAAATCAAAAACATCCAAACCACAAAACAGTTCACAAGTGGATATAAAAGAAAAACGATCTTACGTTTGCTACAATCATGGCCATCAAACCCAATAAAACAGTGACATTTTCCATCAATGCAATCGCCATTCGAGTTGCACGAGTTGGGGCATCGCCCAGACATCCAAAGAGGATCTACACTACAGAGTTCGTGATATGCCGGGCAGATCAGTTCACCTGCAGATACAAATTTTACACAAAAAAACAAAGATTTAGCGCCAACGGGTAGATAAATCGTATATAAAACATTTTTTCTAGCTTTAACAAACATATTTACCGTTAAAGCCCGGAAACTGAACTGGTCCACCAGCTTCCGGGCATTTTTTCCAAATGCCATCAACAGCAACCTGTAAGTTCAATGAAATTATTTATAACTTGTTTTTATAAACTATCTGTAAAGGTGATATCCCTACATATATAGAGGTTTCATGGTCCGTGTAGCTGATGTCGGACTCCAACAAGATGAATCAAGAAATGATTTTGACATGAAACTTGATAACACACCTCCAATGTATTGTTTGTACATCTTCGCTGATAACAACCATTTCCTTGGGTCATAGAACCCCGAACAAAGCCGTTTCGCACCAATGAAGAGGTCATACACCTTCACAGAACAAAAAACTACCATCATAAACAAGCTTGACGATTAATAGTACATCTGAACAGTTACTAAAGAAAATCTCACCTCGAGTTACTTCCACGGGCTTCACCCAACATTCTGTCGGGCTCCCGTGCACTGTTAGTGTCTATACATGAACCATCAGAATAAGCTACATAATAAGTGCAATAATCAGCCAACGACGATTGCCCACCTGCAATTACCAAATCAAAAGATTTAAAACTCTCATTCTGTTGAAAATACAGAACTAGAGAAAAGGTCGAAGTAGAAAACGTCTCAAGACTCGCCTTTGTTGGCCTGAGGAAAATAACGGGCCCACTGAGGAAGGTCGCCGCTATAATTTACAATTGGGCAATAACCCTCAGCCTCCCTGTTATATGTACATCCGATTACTTGTGTTGTGTTGCAATGATACGCCCCTTTCCAAAGGTTGCAAGGAGCAGTAAGAAAGTCGGTCCCTTGATTGCGGCCCCAATCAAGATTGTCTGCCATACTATAATTAGCCTGATACCAACCGCTATCCTCTAGCAAAGCCAGTGTCATTTTTGAAACTACCGATCTTGTATCAACAGACCCCGTCATAATCTCGTTCATCAAAAGCCTCTTCTCCCAGTGAGATCCTGATGCATGATTAAGCTCAGAATTACCAAAAGATTCATCAAATGGCGAATCTTTTTTCTTCCCTTTCCGTTTTGAAACGGGAAATAGCCTAAAAGTTCATAAAGTAGACATCTTGGGTCACAACACAATTACCAACCTGACGTTCCACGGCCTCCACCATCTTCCAACTCGAGCCCAGTGAAATTCTCGGAAAATGCCTGCCAACAAATGCTCATCAATACTTCATTAATTCGACGTATTCTCTCTGATGGAGAAATCTAGAACTCCAACTCCAAGAAGTATAAAATTTCTACTAAAATAACCCTAAAAGAAGGGAAATGTATGATGTTTGATGTAATGTACCCCATAATGATAGCGTGAATGCATGACAACGCGAGGCAGCACCACACGTGTCACCGTCCTCCCAAGCTTTTCATCCATTGACTGTTCTGTAACCTGCAAATACGTGGAAAAAGAAAATCATGATTAAAAATTTAGTACACGGTGATCAATTTTCAACTATGTGCACCAAATACTCAATTTGACGTTAATTTTATCAACAGTTAGGTATAGAAAAATACATCTCATCTCATTTTGGTTATGAATGTAAATAATGAGCCCCAAACAAGCCTTTGGTAATGGGCTACCAGTAATTTCACTAATCCCCCATGGTTTGAGTTGATTTGAAGACTATTGTGTGAGCTTATTGTTGTGGGTCCGAGTGGTACAAATGGTATCAACTATCAAAGAGGTGGCCCTTCAAGGTATAACGGGTTGGGCTCAAGGGTTCGGTTTAGGTATTTTGTCCAAGCCTGAAGGGAACATCTAGAATTTAAGTGGGAGATTTTGTAACATCCTATCTCTTTGGAGTGGAAGTCAGGTCTACGTACATCCCTCAGACCCCACTGAATGGGTAATACCAGGTTGGTTTTGTTTGGATTTTACTTTGTAACATCCTATTCCTTATCGGTTGTGGATGTAAATCACAACCGCTTCATAAGCTCTGAGTAGGGGCTATAATAACTTCCCACCATGGATACGTACGTAAAGTTTGTGCAGCGGCTAAAAAACACCGCAAACCCCATAAAGCAATAACCATTACCTGACTTCTCCGTCTTTTTCTCTCATCTCTGAAATGCGTAAAGGCATGAGGGTCAAATCCAAGAACATGCATCACCTGGAAATTCCAAACTCGTCAAGAAACAATTTTCAAGATATCTTGCATGTTTTTGACTTCTTACACAAGAACAACCACACTCACTTCATGTATGAGAGTTGCCGAAAGTAATGTTTCTGATTCTGCTGTCAAGTGGCGAGGGGCAACATTCACGTGCCCTGCAAATAGATGAAGAGCACAACGTTTCACGTTTTGAACATTTATGCTTCATAACAAACTTTACAAGACAGAAACTAGAGAGATTACCAGCAATTGCACGACCCCATTGATCACGTTCACATGCTACTGCCCACGCTAGGGTATTGCCTGTGGTAGGCCTTGTAGTCACCAAAAGGACTAAATCGGCATCAGCAACACCCCCTGTAAAGATGGAAAGAGGCAAAAAGATGTCGGTTTTTTAAACCATAAAAAAGATTGGAAGGAGACTATACATGAAACAGCCGCTCTACTCTCTAAGGTGCGTTTGGTACACGGACGGGACTGGACGGACAAGGGTGAGGTAGGCAGGTGAAAGAATTGTGGAAGGTTTTAGGGTTTTAATTTGACATGGGTAGTTTAATATTCATCAATCTTGTCTCATCTTCCAAAATTTTGTTCCACCTATTTCGTTGAGGAGAAAAATGCATTTTTGCGTCAGTCAGGTCCTATCCTGTCCCTACCCCCAGACCCTACTTTTGAGTGGGATATTGTGTTTGTTTGGGGGGTTTTTGTTAAGGAGGTTATACACGCACGCACACACAAATACAAAAATTTGGGTCTTTACCTTCTACATATTCACGAGGAAGCTGAACACCGCCATCTTGTCCGCAAGCAGAATAACCACTTAACCTTAAGTTTCCTCTTACACGCTCAACAGATAAAGCTCTTCTAAACCAATCTGCCGTCTGCCCTAGAGCCTGATCACTCGTAACATATAAAAAGAATATTATTATACTCTAATATAACACGCAAATAATATAAGAAAGTTAATGTAACTTCACCGATAGCTGAAAACCCAAGAAGAAGAATGAAAAAGTGGGAAAGTACCCTTCGAAGACGATGCCTTTTATCCTCCCCAGCTATATCATCGGAAGTGCAGTTATACCAGCAATCACCGAAAATTGGAGGATCGTTGTGAGGATTACAAGAGGGCGTACCCAAATTAGAAGCTGCCGGAGGTTCACCCAACTGAAGAAAAACAAAAATAATCAAGAAAACCATAAAAAACAAGAAATCAAGATTCAAGAAAGTAAACTCACTTTCACTATATCGCTAACGTTCCTACAGTCTCTAGCAGGTGAATGACCCACAGCATCATAGTTCAAAAAGATTCGGATGGGTTGCTTTGAATTCTTCGGGAAGCTCGAAACTTTTGAAATTCCCAATAATGCCCTTCCCTTGCGGTGAAGAGGCTCGGATGTATCAGCACCATGGTAAACCTGTGGGGTTACGGAATAGACCTTGTGCCCAGGTCTCTTCCTCCTTTGTTCAATTATCTCATCATGAATACAAGAATGTGATACAATATTTTCATTGCCCTTTTCCACCCCTCTCCATTGCAACTGTTTATCGTCAGATTTTGCTTGAATGATGTCGAAAAATATGAAGATAATTATAATCTGAAATGAATTAAACAAACCCAAAAGATTATTGCAGCTCCAAAGAAACATAAAAGGGTATATATCAAGTACGAAAATTAGATTCTCCTAAAACTGTAAATTTACTATTTTGGAACAGAAACACACCCAGATCTCTAAATAACACAGCCATGATAACCCATCTCAAATTTACTTGAATTTTCAATTCTAACTAACTTCTAGAAATCAAACCCTAAATACCCAAAAAGGGGCCAGATTTAGCTTGTCAAAATCAACCAAACCCTAATATTCTTTTATAAAGGGTAGTGATACCAAAAGACAAAATTGAAACAGTAACCCAGAATTACAGACACAAGAAAGTAATTGAAGAACATGAAAGCTTCGATTTTTTTCAAACAAGAGAACTGGGCAGCAGATAAACCTATGAACAGTTTCATTGAAGATTCTTACAGCTTCAAAAGCTTTCCAAAATAAATGGTGGGAAAGTAAATAAAACCCTAAAAATTTCACCACCAACAGTTCTGAAAAGACACATAAACTCGTAAAGAATTGAAATTTTTTACCTGTAGAACTAATAGCTCAGTCCAACATTTCCTTCTGGGAAAAAGAACGCATCTACTATTACCATTATTACCCCTACAACGAATCTTGAACTCCATGAAGATGTGTTGAATCGACTCCGGCGGCGAAGTCAGCGGCTCCATCAAATCGCCGATAACAAAGACTCCCAGATCGGTGAACCCGCCATTAAAACTCCAAATCTTTCTCGCATTATTCTCCGAAAACAACAACTGGGGTTTTGAATATGAGCTGGTCTTATGATTTAAATAAGATACAAATTGAAAAATACACACACAATCGAATGACGTTATATTCCTGGAGCTGTAAACAGTGGACTGATTCCTCTTCTTTCTTCGCCGGCTTGTACCAAAAGAATTGGTTTTGAACCAAATCAAACAGTGTTATTGGTCGAGGAGGAGTTAATATTGTTCTTCTTTAAGGGCAACTGTGTTGGGTTTTGAAAGAAAGAGAGAGAGTCTGATTCTTGAAGGAGGAAAAAAGGGAAATGATGAAAAAAAAGGCGAGTGGGTGTGGGTGTGGGTGTGGGTGTGGGTGGAGCAGATTTATTTTTCATTTATTAATTTATATATATGTTTTATAAATTATTACTAAACAATACGCAGTAATCCAAGACGGGTTCTATTCATATTTGTGAATTTATGTGTTAAAGCGCCATTACGCGTTATCTTATCTACATCTACGTCTACATCCATATAATTTATATTTATATTGTATTATAAAATATTTGATAAAAATTCTTAAAAATCATTATTTATATATGAAGTATTGTTTATTAATGCATATTACTTAAAATTCAAGATTACAGGTAAATTTTACATAAGTATAACTTATTAAAACTCTATATTTGAATTCGTGTAATTAACTGCGAATAAATATAATCAAATAGAAGATAAAAATCTCAGTTTAAAATATAAAAAAATAAAATATAATTAGAATAATTATTGAGTTCTAACAAAATATTTAATTATTATATTTATAAAAAAATTATTAAACCTAAATTAAGTTCGATAAATTAAATTA